TGAGGGAGAGGATGGGGGTGCGGAAGGAGCTACAGGAGCAGCTCTGGCCAGAGACTGAAGACTCCCGCCAGAGCGAGGAGCAAAGACTGAAGGCTCCAGCTCCAGCGAAGACTGTGTCCAGAGCAGAGATGGAAGGCGGTGGCCGGAGTGCAGGTCTGGGTCCCGGGTGCCAGAGGAAAACTGGTGCTGGCAGCCAGGGGAAAGAAGGCCTATTGCACAAATCTTCGTGCAACAGGCCTCTAGTTGTATTATAATTACCTGTTCATGGTTTGCCTCTGTTAGTAAACTGCAAGTCCTTAAAGGCATTAGTTATTTCTTATTTGCCATTATGTTCCCAGTACCTATTGGAGGGCTTGGCACATAAAGGGTACTCAATAAACTGTAGCTAAAAATAATACTTTAGCTATATTATTGAGAGCTTATTATATGCCTAAACTATTCTAAGTACTTTGCATGGGGGTCACTGATTTAATCCAGAATGACACTCTTATGTTAGTACTATTTTTTTAGTATATATTTTTTATTGATTTCAGAGAGGAAGACAGAGAGATATATAGAAACATCAATGATGAGAGAGAATCATTTATTGGCTGCCTCCTGCACATCCTCTACTGGGGGGGATTGAACCCACAACTTGGGCATGTGCCCTTGGCCAGAATCAAACCTGGGACCCTTTAGTCCGAAGGCTGATGCTCTATCCACTGAGCCAAACCGGCTAGGGCAGGTTATTACTATTACTAGATCCAATTTACAGACGAGAAACCAGGGCTCAGTGAGGTTAACTAATTTTCCTTAGGTTATGCAGCTAGTTCAGTGGAGGACTTGTGATTCAGTCTAAGTAACTCAAAACCTGTGCTCCTTACATCATACCATTTTGCCCTACCTTACAGTGATATTGAGAGAAGTGGGTGAGGAAGTGAATATGGAAGTGCCTTTGCATAGTGTCGGGCACATATTAGGACATGTTATGGTATCAATGGCATAAAGAAATAAAACAGAAAAACAAAATCTCTAGCTATTTAAATAATGGAAATATAGTAGAGGGAATTGCTATATTAGTCAGCTTGGGCTGCAATGACAAAACACTATAATAGTCTAGTCGGCAAACTGCAGTTCGAGAGCCACATGCGGCTCTTTGGCCCCTTGAGTGTGGCTCTTCCTAAGCCTTAGGACTACCCTAATTAAGTGAATAACAATGTACCTACCTATATAGTTTAAGTTTAAAAAATGTGGCTCTCAAAAGAAATTTCAATCGTACTGTTGATATTTGGCTCTGTTGACTAATGAGTTTGCCGACCACTACTAGTGGGCTTAAGCAGCAGACACTGATTTTCTCACCATTCTGGAGGCCGGAAGTCCGTCAGCATGCCGCAGACCCATTCTTGCTGAGAGCCCTCTTCCTAGCCTATGGATGAATCACCTTCTTGTACTTTGCATGGGGGTCACTCATTTAATCCATAATGACACTCTTAGGTTAGTACTATTTTTTAAGTATATATATTTTTATTGATTTCAGAGAGGAAGGGGGAGAGAGATAGATAGAAACATCAGTGATGAGAGAGAATCGTTGATGGTTCTCACATGGCAGAGAGAGAAAAAATGAGCTCTCTGGTGTCTTATAAAAAACACTGATCCCATTGGATCAGGGTTTCATCTTTAAGATATCATTTAACCTTAATTACTTCCTGATGCCAAATACAGCTACCCTGAGGCTTAGGGCCCAAACCTGAATTTGGGGAGGGAGAGGACAACATTCAGTCCGTAGCAACTGTTTATACAGATGATAGAAGAAGAAGCCAAACAGGATAGCAAGGTAAACCAGAAATTAGCAACCATAGGAAGTTGCTACCACCCTTTGACTGGAAAGACCGAGATAACGGAACCCATGGCAGGGACCACAGAGGGAAGGATGTCTAGGAGGGGACTCACGGGCTACTGTCAGAACAGAGAAAGGGAGAAGTGCCCAGGTTTATTCCCTCCTGCCCACTCCAGACTTTTGCCAGTACCTCCCACTGGCTGAAATCACCTAGAGACCAGGAAACAAGGGCGCCTGAGTAATGTAGTTCCTCTGATTCAAAGCTAAGCTGAACGTGGCAAGGACTGCACTGAGCAGACTGCGAAGACTGTCGTAGCAATGGGAGGTTTCGAGAGCAAGCACACAGGTGCTGAACTCTGATTAAGTTGTAGAAAGCATAACAGATTTAATATTCTTAGGAGACATGGTACAAAGTTTCCTGGGTTTTTTCTGTTTTGACAAAAATTCAAAGCATTTTAGGGATAGAACTTTTTAGGGCTGTTGTTCCTAACTGGGAAGACATGTGCCTCTCAGGATAGTGGGCAATGTCTGGAGATACTTTGATTGTCACAGCTGGTGTGGAAGGGCAATGTTACTGGCCTTTAGTGGGTAGAGACGAGGGCTGCTTCTAAACATCCTACCATGCACAGGAATGTGCCCCCATAACAAAGAATTACATAGTCCAAAATGTCCATAGTGCTGTGCTTACGAAACCCTGCTTTAGAGAATCACATCTGAATAACATGGCCTCTTGCCCCAGGGTAGGAGGGGCCTGTTATCATGGAGAGTGAACTGCACTGGGGTCAGGAGTCGTTTTAGGCCCGGCTCTGAACTTGATGACTGTGTGATTTTTGCAAGTCACTTAAGTCTCATCAACTCCAAATGAGAACTTTTATCTAGAAGATATTTATCTGCTTATGATATTTTATTGAAGTCTTAATTTTGATCTTTGGTACTGAAGGTAATTATAAGGGAAGGATATTGGAATCAGATTTAAGAGTAAGCTCATCTTTTACCTTCATGCTTCCCAGAACGAACCACAATATTAAAAAAACATATTACATTTTATTAAATTACTTGAGAACACAGCAAGAAAAAAATAAAAAGAAACTGTGGTCAAATTGATAACTCGATGTAGGTAGAAATGTTTCTTCTAATTAAGAAAAATGTAGAAATTATACAATTGCACTCATTTAGATATATAAAATATATATTATGTTTTGACAAATGCTTCTCAAATCTGTCCATTTTTCTGCTTCCCTGTGGCTACCATCCTATCTGATCTCTCACAATCCCTCCTGAGGTAGAAATAACTAATGGTCTATTCAATATTCTTTCTTTCTTTGTCTCTGTTACTGATATATTGCAGATATTTATGGGCATATAATGAGCCCAAGTAAAATGTTTTATTTACCACCACCTACTGTAGTGAAACTCCTCTTTACCACAGCTAGCAAACACACACAGTGTACACTAATTAGTGAGTCTTCTACAGCAGCAGGCTGCTTTCATTTTTAGTTAATCTTTCAAAAACATAAGAACATCTTTTAAGAGACTAAATTTATTGGACCCCACATAGAGCATTAGAGTAGAATTTTATCGTATTTTATCAAAGAGACCCTCTCTGATGCCTGTCTTCTAAATTGAACATGAGTCACAATTGAAAAAAATGTGCATAATTGAAAAAAATGTGCATAATTGAAAAAAAATGTAACTTCTGTAGCCCAGACTGGAAAACACACTGAGATGGTGGTGTTGGATGACAATACAAACCATTCCTAAGCACCTTCCTTGGAGAGTTAGTTCTGTCCTAGACAAACACCATGAGCCACTGGCAAAGGTGGGATATTGTCCCAAATTGCATCAAGGTCTGCTTTTGAACTCTGTTTTGTTCTATCCTTGGGCCAGTACCCTGCTGTTGAACATTATAAGGCTTATAGAAGAAGCTCTCTCACTTTGTTGTTGAGTGATGTGGTTATTCTTTGCCCTCATGTTTCTATAGAAATTTTAGAAGAAGCTTGTCAGTTTGCGCGCGCGCACACACGCACACACACACACACACACACACACACACACACACACACTCCTACTAGAATTTTTATTTTGAATCTGTAGTTTACATCTTTACAACATTGAGTCTCCCTATCCATGGTATACCTATCCAATTATTTAGATTTCTTTAATTGTTTTTAATAATGTTTTAGCATTTTTCTGTTAGAAATCCTTTAATTGTCTAAATTAATAAGTAAGTTTAGCAAAGTTGCTGGATTCAATGTCACCACATGCAAAATTGTTTTTATATCAACTATAAATAGTACAAATTGGAATTTTTAAAAAATCATTTACAAAGAATCATGAAATGTTAAATACCTAAAAATAAATATAATAACTAATTGCAAGCCTTTTCATACAAAATTTATAAAACATCCTTAGGATAAATAAATGAATATAGAAATACAATTTTTGGCCCAGCCAGCATGGCTCAGTGGTTGAGTGTCGACCTATGAACCAGGAGGTCATGTTTCAGTTCCCAGTCAAGGCACATGCCCAGGTTGCAGGCTCGATCCCCAGTGTGGGGCGTGCAGGAGGTGACCCATCAATGATTCTCTCTCATCATTGATGTTTCTATCTCTCTCTCCTTCTCCCTTCCTCTCTTAAATAAATAAAAACATGTCAAAAGAGAAGAAACACATTTTTGTGTTGATTTTGAATCTGGTAACTTTGCTAAACTTATTAATTAATTTTAATAATTTATCTTAGATTATATTGTGTATTTTCTATGTATGTCACTGTGTGCTTGGCTAATAATACAGCTTTATTTCTTCCTTTCCAATAATTACACATTTTTATTTCTTTTTTTTCTTGATTTATTTCATTGACTAAGACCTTTAGTGCAATGTTGAATAGAAATGGTATCTTCCATGAGTGTGCAAAGTAGATACATAGGTTGTTTTTTGTTTTTCAAATTCTAGAATTAGTGATGCTAGTTTCATCAGTAACAAAAATATACCAAAATCTAGCATAGGACTAGGGATATATGTAAAGAAAAATCCATTTTAAGCAACATTATTGATCAGGCAATTTACAAGTATGGAAGAACAAAGAGATTTGGAGGAAGAGCTTGGATGGAATGAAATAGGAGCTACCATCATTGGAGCAGTGACAGGGGCCAGCTCCCAAAACGTATATTATTCCCCAAGGAAAATGGTAATGGGTATTGGAATGGAGAGAAACAGATGGCCCTAAACACATTCATATTTTATATTAGCAAAGCCCACATTTCTCATTATGTGAGCACTCAGCCATTTGGAAAGCAGTTTGAATAGGAACATGACTTTTGCAATAAAAAATATCTGAGTTTAAATTCCAGCTCCATCATTGTGTAACCACAGCCACGTTGCTTAATCCCTTTGAAGCTCAGTTATTCACCTGTAAATTGAGGATAATGATTCATAGTTACTGGGATCATTATAAGGATGAGTGAGATAACACATGTATGTTATTGGCTGTATAAAAATGTACAATAAATTAGTTTTCTGCCCATTTTTGGCTTGAATTCTTCTTTATCTTGTGTTGCTGTGTAATACTTTTGACATACTAAGCTATACACTTTCATCTTGGTCTTTCTTTCCCATCTCACCACCACCCTTAAACTTCCACAGTGATCAAGCACGTAGTAGGGACCCTCTAGGACAGCGGTTCTCAACCTGTGGGTCAAGACCCCTTTGGGGGTCGCCTAAGACCATTGGAAAACACATATATGATTACATATTATTTTGTGATTAATCACTATGCTTTAATTATGCTCAATTTGTAACAATGGAAATACATCCCGCATATCAGATATTTACATTACGATTCATAACAGTAGCAAAATTACAGTTATGAAGTAGCAACGAAAATAATTTTATGTTTGGGGGTCACCACAACATGAGGAACTGTATTAAAGGGTCGTGGCATTAGGAAGGTTGAGAATCACTGCTCTAGGAGGAAGGGATAGAGAGGAAAGCAGAAATAATCAGCAGTGCTTCTAGCTTTTGCATTTGAGAACTTAACATTTTGAGGCAGTTGTCTTAAACTCATGGGATTTGGCCTGCATTTGCTTTCAGAGGTGTTCTGTATTGCTTCGCGGTGTATAAATAGTTCCTAGCACTTAAAATTGGGATACTTAATATAAAACTCTGGGAGATCAGGCACAGGTGGATCTGCATTTTCATGGAGAGGAATTGGCTAGAGCTCTACAATGCCTGCCCCTTGAATGGGCTGCTAGAGCTCCAGTTTGACATGGCTACCATGGGCCTCTCATTCATCTATGTCACCTGTGCAGCTGTGGTACACATTCAAGTTTGTGTGTTCTGTTCAGAGATATTTGATAAATTTGGGGAATAGCCAAATATTTGGGAGAAGCAAGGCGGAGAGTTTGAGGCATTGCTGGTCCCTCACCAACTTAGAATATGTATCTCCCAGACCCAAACTGTGGGCAGAAGAGAATGAGAGGACAAAATGTGGGAGTTTCTCTCTCTCTTTTTCTCTCTTTCTCTTTCTTTCTTTCTTTCTTTCTTTCTTTCTTTCTTTCTTTCTTTCTTTCTTTCTTTCTTTCTTTCTTTCTTTCTTTCTTCCTTCCTTCCTTCCTTCCTTCCTTCCTTCCTTCCTTCCTTCCTTCCTTCCTCCCTTCCTTCCTTCCTTCCTTCCTTTCTTTCTACTTTCTTTCTTTCTTCCTTTCTCTATCTCTCGGCCTCTCTGTGTGGAAGTAAGACTGCTGGACTAGTATCCTGGAAGGCAGGAAGCACTCAAAGAAGGAAAGACATCTATGTCTAGAGCGGGGCGGGAAGGTTCCAAACAGCAACATGTCCCAGCTGTGGCACCAACCTAAGAGGAAAAGTCTTGCTCTCCACCTCAAGTATGGATTAGTCCCAGCAGTGGCCATGAGACTGAAAGATGTGAGGTCTTTCCTATGGTGCTACCTGTGCAACTGTGGGCCTTATGAACAATAATCAGATTGGCTCCTTCAACTCCCCCACCATATCTCAGCACTGAGGTTTTCAGAGACGGGCTCAGATTAAGTTTCTATCTCTATACCCTATATAGCCCTCTACTCCCCTCCCCACAATGGGCACTTAAAATAGAGTTTACTTACTCTCTGTTCCTGTTTCTATGAATTGACAGTACTGACTTCTACTCTTTTCTTGTTCTCTTTGTCTCCTGTCACCACAACTTACTTGAAATATTGTCCTGTAGCTTCCACAATTCTACTGCCTTCTGTTCTTGTTCCCCTTTTCCATCTGCTTCCTGCTCTCTCACCATCTCTCTGACTGCTACAGTCAGGTACTCATCACTCTGGCTGCTCCTTTAAAACTAATCTGTATTCTGTTCTTTTTTCTTCTTCTTCTGGACACTGTTAGAAGTTGGGAGTTTCTCTGGGATCTAGTCTTAGTCTAGTCTTAGTCTTTTTATTCTACTTTCTATTCCTGTTGATCCTAACTATTTCCAAATCCCTAGTGAACTCTCAAGTCTTCAAAACCCATATCCCTGGTTGGGGAATTTTAGCTGCTAGATAGAGATGGCATAGGCATATCTTCTTTTCCTTCTGCCTTGTTCGATATTGGTTATCAGCATTAAAAATTAGTGACTCAGAGCAGGCATCTCAGAGTCACATCGAACATCTCTTTATCTACCACATTTAATTGGTCACCTTGTTTTGTTGATACTTCTATCTTCTCTCTTCCTTTCGTGCTAGTCACAGCCTTAGTTCTGGCCATCATCATTTCTCTTTGGGATTGTTGTAATAATCTCTTGATGAGTTTTTCTATCCTTGTTTGTTCCCTCTTCAAATCCATTTCCCCTGGTACCACAAAAAAAAAATTTCTAAAATGCAGATGTTATGTTGTTACATTACTCTCTCCCCAAATTAGAATTGACTACAGAATTTTCATAAGAATTTCACTTCTCCCTGCTCATCTCCAGACACCCGTCTATATGTATCCCATGAGTCTTCACTTTCTATTCTTCTGTTATCCCTTCATATCTTTGCCATGATGCTCCCTGTGCCTGGGCTGACCTTGGTACTCATTTTGCTGGATTCCTTCAACAGCTGCTTCAAATGTCACCTCCTCAATAAAGCTTTTCTGAATCCATCAAGACTGATTTAATTTTCTGCTCATCTGCATTTTCCCATCGCACATTGCGTTTAAATACCATGTATTCTAATATATTTTGGCTAGTATTTTGTTGCCTCCATTTTATTATAAACTTCCTGAGTACTCCTGAATCGAATTTGTTTTCCAGACCCTGGCATGGCACCTAGAATATTAATTAGAAGCTCAACAAGTATACGTGTGTTGTTTTAATATCACCTGGTCCACTTGAAGAAAGGTATTCAATTTTACCTTACAAAGCTCTTTCATTGACTATCAACATATTTATTAATAATTATAATAACAATAGCAAATACATATAGTACTTATTGTATGTTAGGTACTGCTCTGAGGAATTCACATATATCACATTCAATTCTCATAACAGCTCTGTTACTAAAGTTATTATCCTCATTGTACAGATAATGAAACTGAGCCTTAGGGAGGTTAAGTTGCCCAAAATTAATAGACCCAGGTTTCATACCCAGCTATCCAGCTTACATTCTTAAACCACAATGCTATAGTACATCTCTTGGGGAAAAGAGATAATTTGTTTTTAAAATATAGTTTTAGATTCTTTCCAGAGTCATTGAATTGTTGAGGGTGACACTTGAACATCAAAATATATTAACAAATGACCATAAATCCAAATGTGTTCTCCTTTCCCCACCCTTATACTTTGTGTACACCTTCAGCATCACATTTATCACACTGTATTACAAGGCTGTGTTTCCATGTATTTTTTTTTTGATTGGGAACAATTTGAGGCAGGGAATATGTCTTTTTAGATTTTATTCTTACCCATGCATTGCATGATACCTGACAGATGGTTGCCCAATCAATGATTAGTGAATGAAAGAATAAGAAATAGTGCTTACATTTTTAAAGACATTAAAATGGCCACATCCATAAATTAAAGTTGGTAAGTTATTTTTAAAAATATATATTTTATTGAATTTTTTTTTTTTTACAGAGAGGAAGGGAGGGATAGAGAGAAACATTGATGAGAGAGAAACATCGATCAGCTGCCTCCTGCACACTCCCTACTGGGGATGTGCTCGCAACCAAGGTACGTGCCCTTGACCAGAATCGAACCTGGAACTCTTCAGTCGGTAGGCCAACGCTCTATCCACTGAGCCAAACCAGTTAGGGCAAAAGTTGGTAAGTTCTAAAACTAGCAACCAAGTAAATGGACTCCAAGAGATTAGAATGTCCTGTCACTTTTCATGAGAGGACTTTGTTTAGTTTCCACTTTGTTTAGTTTCCACTTCTTTGGTAATAGAAAGAGACGATGGGTGCTGATTAAGAGCTATGGAATCTGAAATCTGATTTGTCTGGGTTCAAATCATGTATTCACCATCTAGGAGCTGAGTGATCATGGGATTGTAATTTTTTCTTTGCCTTCTCCTTATCAGAGATCTAAAAAAATCTTTGTGAGGCTGTTGTGAGATTAAATAAACCAATCCATGCACAATATTTGGAACATAGAGTTAGTACTCAATAAGTGTTAGTAGCTATCATATCATTATTATAAGAGTAAATAGAATTAGCATTAGAATTTAAATACTCACTTCTCTAGTTTTGGTTTTGATTATGAAGCTTCTTTACACTTTGCAAAAGTTTAGGGCTGTCAAGGACTTCATCTTTAAAGCTCTGAGTTTTTTAAATGAATTTTGATACAAACTCTTTCACAAAATGATAAATCTTTGGCACAGAAGCTCTTTCCATGGCTGTGCTGTCCAATGCTCATGTTAAGCAATGGAACCAAAGAGACATGGGAGGGATAATGGGCCAGGAACTAAGCCACATCGGATGACAGACAGTATTGGAAGAGGATTTAATCCGGGAATCAGCATGTTGTTAAAGAGCATGCATCGCGTTGAGTGGAGAGACAGCTCCGCCAGCTCTGCCAGCAAGGTGAGACCCAAATAAGTCATGTCTATTTAATATAATCTGAGCATCAGTTGTGGCAAAGCCAAGAGCAGTAACTAACTAGGCGAACATGACATTGCACCTGGCTCACCACAGCTCCAAAAGCAATTTGTGACACTATTTCAAATAAGTCCAGTAGAACATGTTGTTCTCTGAAGAAATTGTGATTTTGGAAAACAGGTTAGGGTTCGTGGCAAAATTTGAGATGAAAATGGTTAGGAATGTAAGAGACAAGCAAGAAATCTTTGGTTAGTTCATAATCACTGGAAGCCATAATAACTGGCAACTGGGCTTATTTTTTTAATACCATAACTGAAAAAATTGCTTACTATAGAGACAGGCAAGTCAAGCAAACTAAGCCCACTAAATACTGTGAAATGAAATGAGTATCAAATGTGTATAATGCGCAGTAGGATGTGGTGAGTACTTGCCGAACTGGGAAAAGCAGAGTCTCCTGGTTCTGGAAGCTGGAGCCAGGGGTTGTAAGTCAGGCTGCGAGCCTGGCTCTGTGTGATGCTGGCTAAACCCCCAGTGCCTTCTTTATCCTCATTAATGATCCCTCAGTGGTTTAAAATTCTGGACTTTGAAAAGTACTTTCTAAAGATCTAATGACCTAAAAATCCTAAGATAAAAAGAGCAAGTTTCATATGGAAGAACCAATTTTCTTTCCTGGGAAGCATCCAGCCAAAAAAAAAAAAATCTAAAAATATCTTAGCAAGGGCATATATTTGACAAATATAAAGCAGAAATTCTATTTTTCCTACCACCCAGATTGCTCTCATATGTAATTATCCTATATCTTTATGGTTAAACGGTAGCAATGTGTCCTGGTTAAAGAATGAGACACTTGTATTTTTTAGTCAATGGAGGGGAAACAGAAGGAACAATGTTGGGATTTATGAGACCACTTAGAATCCAAAAAACAACTCTGTTCACGTAGACTTTTCTGAGATGGATGAAATAAATTGCAATGTTGGATTACCTACTGTTATGAAACAATGTTGATAAAATAATTAAAATTCCTTACGGAACTTACCCAAACATCCTAGGAAAAGGAAAGACCACATCATGTATGAGAGGAAGTGGTTGCCGGCACCATCATTCATTTAGTAGATGCCATCACACAGAGTCGGGCTCATCACCGGACTTAGAACCCACAAGTCCAGTTCCCAGAACCAAGCTCAAGGTTACATAATTTTACATACTTTTTGCCAAGTCAGTGTCTCAGTACCAATGCCTGGGTCCTACCCCTAGAGAGTTTTAATTAACTGGTGATTACAACGTGCAGCTGCAGTCGGGAACCAGGCCCTTAGAAGAGTCCAGTGAGAACTAGTATCTGCTCCCAGTACCTTTTGTTCTGTGCTGTTGAATTCCGTACATTTTCTCAGGCGTGTTCCTTCAGAGCACCTGCATGCCACCTACAATCCCAGGATCACCTTGAAACACACCCCGTGTGTTAAATACTTTCCACTCTTGAGCCTGTGTACAAACTCCATAAATTCAACATCCGACCTTCCACAGGTTCTGTCTTGGTCCTTGATTCAGAGCAGGACTTGGAATAGCTGGTCAAGTCCTGCCTTTCTAGAGATGTGAACAAACAATTCCAACCCGTGGATGTCATCTCCCCAGTGTTCCCTGGCCCAGTTGGGACTCAGCAGTCTTGCATTGAAAGCAGCAAAACCTTGTTCTGCCTCCCACTGTCTAGTGTGGAATGAGGATGTTTTCTTTAGACTTGAATTTTTGCCTCAGGTGTGCCTAAGAAGTAAGAGGCCTGGGTGTGTGTGTGGCGGGCTGGGGGAGGGAGGAGTGGTGGTGGTGGTTATAAAGCCTGGACCATTTGGCTGACATTGTCTAGCACACACACCTTTCCTGAAATTTGAACTGTACCTCCTCAACCCAGCCCAGGTCCTCCCACCTCCGTGCTTTGCTGAGGCCTGTGTGGCCCAAAGATTTGTGTGGAGCTGCCCAGGTGCACAGTCCTGCCTCTACAACACAGCCTCTGGCCTGTGGACAAAATGGCCATAAAGAAACAATCAGCTGTCAAGGTCAAGCTGCAACAGGTAAATGCTGGCCGCACAAAGAAAAACCCTTAGGCATGGTATACATAAGACTTTCCGAACCACCAAGGGCATTCGTTTTTGTTTTGTTTTGTTTTTAATATATTTTATTGATTTTCCACAGAGAGGAGAGGAGAGGGATAGAGAGCTAGACACATCGATGAGAGAGAAACATTGATCAGCTGCCTCCTGCACCCCCCCCCCCACTGGGGATGTGCCTGCAACCAAGGCACATGCCCTTGACTGGAATTGAACCCGGGACCCTCCAGTCCACAGGCCAACACAACATCCACTGAACCAAACTGGTCAGGGCACCAAGAGCATTCTTTACCCACACATTCAAGTCCATGGTCCATCAATGCAAGTCCTTGGAGAATCCTCTTGACATGGTCCACAAATTCTATTTCCAATTTTATTTTCTAGTGTTCAAAGCACAAACACCACATGTTGGGTTGAGATACTCCCCAAACTATAAAATCCTGCCATGGAGTGAGTTATCCAGGAGACATGCCAGCTTCCAAAGGGGAAATTAAGCCAAGTAGGCCCAGTTTATTTATCCCCGGTTACCATCAGATGAATCACTCTGACTTCCCTGGGTAGGGGAGGGCTGTAGGACTGGGTGTTGTTGGGAAAAAGGTGGGGAGAATATGCTGAGAGACTTAAAAAGTTAAATTAACAGAGCTTCCTGAATATAGAAGACATATCAGATACAGGGATGAAAAATCCCTAACAATGCATATTTTAGAGAATACTTTTAAATTGTATATTTTTAACCTCTACTTGAAGTATGATATGTATTCAGAAAAATGATCTACCCGGTTGAAATTTCTAAAATGTATGCACAAATTCTTTACTACTTCTTCCTCCAAAGGTAAAGCCCAATTCTGTTCCCCTTCAAGGTGGGTCCAAATTAGTGAGTCATTTCTATTGGCTAGAAAGTGATGAAAGGGACAGTGTGACTTCTGAAATTAGGTCAAAAAACGCATGATGGCTCCCTCCTTGCCCTCAAAGCACTTGCTCTGGAGGAAGCCAGATACCAGGTTGGGAGGACACTGAACTAGCCCTATGGCAGTGGTTCTCAACCTTCCTAATGCCGTGACCCTTTAATACAGTTCCTCATGTTGTGGTGACCCCCAATTTCATTGCTACAAATTGAACATAATTAAAGCATAGTGATTAATCAAAAAAACAATATGTAATTATACATGTGTTTTCCGATGGTCTTAGGCGACCCTTGTGAAAGGGTCATTTGACCCCCGAAGGGGTCGCGACCCACAGGTTGAGAACCGCTGCCCTATGGAGAGATCTATGTGGTGAGAAGTGAGGCCCCTGCCAACAGCCTCCGAGTGAATCAGCCTGGACACCTTCAGAGACTTGCCTGCAGCCTCCCGAGACCCTGAGCCAGAACAACCCAGCTAAGCCTCTCCTCCTGGCACAAAGAAATTGCCAAATATAAGAACTATTTATTGTCGCTTTTAGCCTCCAGTTTTGAGTAATTTATTATGTAAAAAAACACTAACTAATACAAAAGTGTACATATCAAAGACCTTTCAAAAACTGAACACCTTGGTACTGAGATCAAGAAGTAGAACATTTCTCCACTATCTCCATTACTATTTCCAGTCACTGCCCTCTTCCCTGAAAATTATAATTCTGACTTCTAACAGCACATATTTTCCCCCATTTTTCTAGACTTCACATGAATGAATTATATCAGTATTTACTACTTTTTATCTGGTTTATTTCACTAAACATTATGTTTATGACATTTAGCCACATTTTTTAGTATAGTTGTAGATGATTAATTTTAATTGTATAGTTTTTCTTGTATACACATGTAAAGTTTTATTTATCAAAAATATATATTGCCCTGGCCAGTTTGCTGAATGGGTAGAGCATTGGCCTTCGGACTGAAAGGTCCTGGGTTTGATTCCAGTAAAGGGCACATGGCTTGGATGTGGGCTTGATCCCTGGCCCTGGTTGAGGCTCATGTGGGAGGCAACCAATAAATGTGTCTCTCTCAAATTAATGTTTCTCTCTGTCTCTACTCCCCTCTCTTCCACTATTTCTAAAAAAATTAATGGAAAAATATCCTCAGGTGAGGATTTTTTTAAAAAGTATATGTTACTTATTAATTTTACTTAATGATTTTGTACAGCTACATTTTATTTTTTAATTTTGTAAGAATGTATTTACTTTATTGAAATATAATTGGTTTACAGTATTATATTCTTTATATTAGTTTCAGGTGTACAATATAGAGATTTGATACTTTTATATTTTACAATGTAATCAACTACCCCACTAATTCTAGTAATTATCTGTCACCATGTAAACTTATCACAATGTTATTGACTATATTCCCCTTCAACTTTTTCACCATCCTCCATTCTCCTTCAGCTATATTTTAAAATCAAGTTTTTTTGTGTGTGTTTTCTAATCCTCACCCTAGGATATGTTTTTATTGATTCTAGAGAGACAGGAGGGGGAGAGAGAAACACTGATGCCAGAGAGAAACATCTATTGATCAAATATCAATCAAATAGTTGCTTCCCATATGGCCCTGACTAGGGATCAAACCTGCAACCTGGGTATGTGTTCCAATTGGGAATTAAACCCATGACCCTTTGATACACAGAATGATGTTCCAACCAACTGAGCCACACCAGCCAGGGCTAAAATCAAGTTTTAACATTTGTCAGTATAGCAGCATATAACCACCACTTTCTTTTCCATCTGGCAAGGGAAATGTTTCCTGTTGGTTTTGGGTTTAGATAGACCTGACATTGACATTTAATATGGTCAGCTACTTTTTGTGTGTGCCTGTGATCAAGTTAATTAAAGACACACACACACAAATGTTTATTAATCTATACATAAACATATATTTACACAAATATATGTATTTAACTTACAAAGGGGGTAATGAGAAAAATGATGTAATTATCTCCATAGACACTAAAAATGCCTTGAATAATATTAAATACCCATTCCTGAAAAAACAACCAGAAAATAAGTAATGAAATAGAAATATTTGGATATTCTCTTACTACATACTTTAACACCCAATTCTATATGTTACTTAATGTAGAAACTCAAGAAAATCAATGTTAAATGATATAATCAACAACAGAATTTGCAAGGAAAGAATATAAAATGTTAGCATACAGAAACTAGTGGTCTTCATCCTAACAAACAAATGTGGTTAAAAGATACAATGGAAGACCACAATTACAATAGAAATAAAAGAAGATAAAATACTTAGAAATAAACTTCATATGAAAAATTCAAAATCTATATGAGGAAAACTTGAAAAGTTTTGAAAGACACAAAACAGGACTTGAACAAATGGAAAGGCTCTTTTTGTTTTAAAGAGGAATTCTCAGTATTTAAATATGTAAGTTATCTCATAATATTTACATTTAGAGTAACCTGAATAAAAATATCAAAAATATTTCTTCTGGAACTAGGCAAATTAAATTTAAAATTCATATGCAAAAATTGATATGCAGGAATAACTAGGAAAATAAAGAGGAATGACAGAGGCTAGCTCTATCAAATATTGAAGTGTACTCTAAGGCTCTATGATTAAAACAATGTGGTATTAGGGTATAAATAAATAGCAATTCCATAAATAAATTCAAGTACCTCTGGCAATTTAGTTCATGGTATAGGTGGCACCTCAAATCATTATGGGGAAATGAGTTTTAATAAATAACATTGGAACAGTTGAACAGAATTTGTTAGAAGATAAAATTATATTCACACTTCACACTATACCATAGTGAGTAAGAAAAAAACACATACAAATGGCAAAAGAAAACATTAAGTTCTTTAATAATCTAGAAGTGGAGAAACTCTTTTAAACTATTTCATACAATACAGAAGCAATAAAAATTAATAAATTTGATTCCATGAAATAAATAATTTTGCATGAAATATAATGTTGCCTGTATAGGAAGTAGTATAAAAAAATCAAACTATTGCCCTAACCGGTTTGGCTCAGTGGATAGAGCGTCAGCCTGCGGACTGAAGGGTCCCGGGTTCGATTCCGGTCAGGGGCATGTACCTTGGTTGCAGGCACATCCCCAGTGGGGAGTGTGCAGGGGGCAGCTGATCGTTCTTTCTCTCTCATCAATTGTTGTTGAATGATCGTTGTTTCTAACTCTTTATC